AATCAGCCTAATGGAGGCCCTGAGGCAGGCGGGGACACGTGGGTGTTTGGGGGCCCAGGGAGAGGGCTTGGCTAGGGAGGGAGACCGGGGCCAAGCAGAGCAAGCAGAGAGCAGGGCCATCCAGGGAAGTACTAAAAACTAAGCAGCAAGGTGCAGGTAGACAGCCATAAAGAGGCTGCTTTTCAGGGAAGACGTAGGGTTGGGTTCTTGTACTGGGAACCAATTTTTGGAGCAACTAGTACATTTAAATCTCATCTGTGATGTAACTTGGTGTGTGTGTGTGTGTGTGTGTGTGTGTGTGTGAGTGTGTGTGTGTGAGTGTGTGTGTGAGTGTGTGTGATGAGTAATGGAGGCTGGAAGGCTATAGAAAAGTAAGGACTCAACCTGTCTTGTTATTCTACTGAGGCCCCAGTACCTAACAGCATCTGAAACCTAGTCAGCGCTCAAAATGTATTTGTTGAATGGAGGAATGGGCAGATGGACAGACAGATGAGTGGAAGGAAGGAAGAATTAGAGGAAAGGAGGAAGAAAGGATGGGTGGATGGATGGAAGGGTGGGTGGGTAGGTAGGTAGATGGGTGGATGTACGGAAGGATGGATGGGTGGGTGGATGGATGGATAGATGGAAGGGTAGGTGGGTGGATGGATGGATGGATAGAAGGGTGGGTAGGTGGATGGATGAATGGAAGGGTGGATGGGTAGATGAATGGAAGGGTGGATGTGTGGGTGGATAGAAGAGTGGGTGGATGGATGGATGGATGGATGGATGGATGGATGGATGGAAGGGCGGATGGATGGATGGAAGGGTGGGTGGGTGGATGGATGGATGGAAGGGTGGATGGGTGGATGAATGGAAGAGTGGATGGGTGGATGGATGGAAGGGTGGGTGGGTGGATGGAAGGATGGGTGGGTGGATGGATGGATGGAAAGGTAGGTGGGTGGATGGGTGGATGGATAGAAGGGAGGGTGAGTGGATGGATGAATGGAAGGGTTGGTGGGTGGGTGGATGGATGGATGGAAGGGTGGATGGGCGGATGAATGGAAGAGTGGATGGGTGGATGGATGGAAGGGTGGATGGGCGGATGAATGGAAGAGTGGATGGGTGGATGGATGGAAGGGTGGGTGGGCGGATGAATGGAAGAGTGGATGGGTGGATGGATGGAAGGGTGGGTGGGTGGATGGAAGGATGGGTGGGTGGATGGAAGGATGGGTGGGTGGATGGAAGGATGGGTGGGTGGATAGAATGATGGGTGGGTAGATGGATGGATAGAAGGGTAGGTGGGTGGATGGGTGGATGGAGAGAAGGGTAGGTGGGTGGATGGGTGGATGGACAGAAGGGTGGGTGGGTGGATGGATGAATGGAAGGGTGGGTGGGTGGGTAGGTGGGTGGATGAATGGAAGGGTGGGTGGGTGGATGGGTGGGTATGGATGGATAAGGCAATGAGAATCCTAAAATACTGAATGACACTGTACAACTATGAGCTGGTGCGAGGTCTGTCCCCATCCCAGGAGTTCTCGGAGGAGGGCAGGGGTTTCTGTTGCCACCACCCAGGCCTCTCTGTAAAGAGACTATGGAAGGGGAAGGGAAACAGCTTTATATGGGTCAAACCTTATCCTTTGCAAATTTAAATTTAAAAAATGCATTTCACTTAGTATGGGAGAGGCATGTTTAGGAGCTATAGAGCACATCCTCTACCCAGAAACTTATCTCCTTCAGCACCTGCTCCTATGTACTCACCGCAGAGGCCGGTTGGCAATGAGCCTGTGCCACTGGAGCGGTGGCAGGAATCAGCAGATCTAGTCCAGCACTTGAACTTCCACGCATTCACCTCCATTTTCCCACTTGTGACTTTCATTCTCCATGTTCTGAGCTTTGTGTGAAGATACCCACAGCAACTGCCCACCCATTAGAGGATGTCTCCTAGCTCAAAGTTTGTCATGGCTGGAGATGCACAAAGTAGGCTGATTTTGAAAATTCAGTAAGCATTTCCCACTGACATATTCTGTCCCACGCCAACCAACCAGGTGGTCCATTCAGGTAAATTCCCACCCTCCACAGACAACACAGACTACACTCCACACACGTACTCATGCTCTTGTAATCACTACCTAGAGTGTGCTCATAGCTGAGATTCCTTAGGGGGAAAGATTTTACTCAGTGAATTTACCAGAAATCAAACTTGGGGTGGTGGTGGTGGTGGTGGTGGTGGGAATGGTATGTTGTTGTTGTTGTTGGTGGTGGTGGTGGGATATGTTGTTGGTGGTGGTGGGGGTGGGATGTGGTGGTGGTGGTGGTAATGGTTTGGTGGTGGTGGTGGCGGGATATGTTGGTGGTGGTGGTGGGGGTGGGATGTGGTGGTGGTGGTGGTGGTGGTGGTGGTAGGAATGGTATGCTGGTGGTGGTGGGGGTGGGATATGGTGGTGGTGGTGGGAATGGTTTGGTGGTGGCGGCGGCGGTGGGAATGATATGCTGGTGGTGGTGGTAGTGGGATATGTTGATGCTGGTGGGAATGGTATTTTGTGGGTCAGCTCATAACTTGATGATCTAAACAGCCTGCCTATTATAATTTTTATGAAACAAGTATTTTAATAATATTTCATCAGAGAAGGTCTAATTTCTTCCTTTTAGTTTGTTCTCTCTAACAGAGGGCCTGTTGCCATGATGGCGAGGCATGCTCAGCCTCTGTCCTGTGAGCTTAATTGACTGAAACATTGATTGAGCCCCGGGAGGGCAGAGGGCCCCAGCGGAATCACGACATAGCCTCGGTGTGTCAAGAATGCCTGCAGCTCGCTAAGCGACCTGCGCTTTGAGCTGGGGGAGGCGCTCTGTGTTCGCTGTGACAGCAGAAGTAGACACAAATGACGCCAAACCTTCCTGAAAGGGTTTCATGTTTTTCAAAGTGTGTATGTGTAGATGGTGGTCGCCTAAGACCATCCTGCATATCAGATATTTACATTATGATTCATAACAGTAGCAACATTACAGTTATGAAGTAGCAACGAAAATAATTTTATGGTTGGGGGTCATTACAACATGAGGAACTGTACTAAAGGGTCGCGGCATTCGGAAGGTTGAGAACCACTGGACTGTAGAGTGTGAAAGAAATAAAACAAAATCAAAGAGCTACCAAGAAATATTAATGAGAAGGAAGATGGGAAGGGGTGACACTACCCCAGAGAAGTCAGACCAGGCAGCCACGGCCGGGGGGCAGGGCTTATCGGGCATGAGCACCGTGCCCGCACGCTGGGCACGAAGTAGTGGCAAACGGTGATATCAGCGCCATGTGGAAGGGGGCAGATAGCACAGCCAGGGCACAGGTGCCTGGCACGACATGACTCGGCCTCCTGCGCCCCTTGGAGGCAATGAGTCGAGCCTGTGGCTGGGACAGACCACAAGGGCACAGTGTTAGAGGGTGAACCAGGGTTTAAACAGAAATGAGACACACAGTGTTCTACTATATATATAATAAAATGTAAGCACCCTCGGGCGCGGGTCCCTGTCTCCCCGACCGTCCCGTCCACCAGCGGGACTCGCTGGCCCCGACGCAGAGAGGAAGACGGGAGGGGGGGGGGGTGGGGGGGGGGGGACGACCTGCTTTGCCCTGGCGAATCCTGCCTCTAGTCCTTCATCAGGAGGAGACACTGGGGTGCTCACACGCCCCTGCATGGAAGCTCATTCATTCCTGTTTCCAAAAGGAAGTAACCCCTGCCCAGCGGCCATTCCCACACAGAGACGTTTCCCCACGGGTGAGGCCACTCGGACCTAACCAGGGCTCACCATCTGGGCGAGAGGCCACCTGGGGTGCTCTCAGGGGTGAAGCGACCGTAACCCTAAGGTGCAGAGGGGAGATTTGATCTTTTCTACCCAGTCCCACCAACAGAGGACAAGGAGGGCATATTCTGGGCACAGCACGGCTTGGGCGCACGTGTGCCCACACAGGCTTGGCTTTCAGACCCTCCGTAGACAGGCACCGGGGACAGGGCCCGGACCTGGTGTCCGGACCTGGGGCTGGATGCTTGGGGTGAGGGCTGCCCTGTGCAGGGTAGAGGCGGAGCAGCACCCCTGGTGCCAGGAGCACCCTCTGTGACAACCAAAAGGTCTCCAGGCACTGCCAACGTCCTGGTCGGGAAACTGCCCCGCAGAGCCAGGTGGCCGGGACCGCATTCTCACCGAGTCTGTTGTGGGTGCCGCCTGTGGCGGCCTCATGGGCACGCAGCGTGGGAAATGCATCAGTGTCGCTGTCCCCGTTAATCTTTTCATTTCTGTTCTGGTTGAACTTGAAGCCGGGTAACAATGTTTCAATGCTCGGCTGCTCTGGGCAGCGCAGTGGATGCAATAACTTACAGAGAAGCGCTGCTCGTTACCGTGAGAACGCCACGACCCTTAGGAAGCGCGTCGCTCCAAGTCTGAAAAGCGGTTCACCAAGGGCCTCGCGCGCTCGGTGGGAGTGGGGTCGCTGTCCCGGCCACGGCAGGGCTGGGGGTTCGTGGGAAACCGTAACCCGCGCCCGGGCGTCCGTCCTCTCCCGCGCCTCCCGGCCTCCTTCCGCGGCCGGCCAGCGGGGGGCGCGGGCTCTCCGCACGGAGCCGCCACCGCCTCCCGTTTGCCCCAAGGTCACGGCTCGGAGCGAGCTCGCCGGCCGCCGGGGCGGGAATCCCGGGTGCCTTCGGGGCGGAGACGCCGGCGCCGGGCCGGGGGCCGGGGATGCGGTCACAATGGGCCGGGAGGGAGGCGCGGGGCCGGGGCCACAGCGTGGGCGCCGCCACCGGACTCCGCGCCCGGAGGGAGGTGCGCGCAGACGTCCCGCCGCCCCGCGCAACCGGAGCGCGGAGCCGGTGCCGCCCAGGCCCCCGGGCGCGGCCGCGGGAGACGCTCCCCGCGCGGCGGGCGCAGCCTGCAGGGCGCTGTCCCCGCCCGGCCCTCCCCGCGCGGGACCGCACCTCCGCCCTCACCTCCCGCCGCAGGTCCGCGCGGCCCCTCCCCGGCCGGCCGCCCCCGGCACCAAGTTGGCGGGAGCCTATAAAAGCCGGGGACGGCGCGGCCGCGGACACACCGAACCGGCCCCGAGCAGCCGCCGCTGGACGCGCGCCAACTCCTGCCCCGCCGCCCCGCCGCCACCATGTCCCACCACTGGGGGTACGGCCCGCACAACGGTGAGTGCGCGCCGCCCTCTGCACCTGCCGGCCGCGGGCGCGGGTCGCGGGCCAGGGCCCCTGCGCGGGGTGCCCCCTCCCCAGCGCCGGCCCCCGCGCGGGTGCCCCTCGCCCCGGCCCTGTCCGCTGCCCCGAACCCCCGCGGCCGGCGCGCACAGGCCCAAGGGGGGGGGGTACCCTCAGCGGGAGACGCGAGGACAGCCCCTCCGGGCCCCTGCGGGACACCCTCCTACCCCGACCCAGGAGGAGAGAAGAGGTTGTAACAGGAAATGGTAGGTGTTGGTGGCAGAAATCAGGGACCCGCGCCCCGACCATCCTCAGCGCCACCTGTGGCTGAGGCTCCCGCACAGCCTGTCCCTGGCACTTCTCTGCGGTTAGAATTCCTTGCCCTGAATGCAGTTCACCCTTCACCTCTGACCCTAATGTCAGGGGGTCACCAGGAGCGGGCTTTCCCGCCAGGGATCTGGGTTCTCAGAGTCAGAGGACATGCAATGGCTGGGAGCTGCGTGGCCTCCACACATGGATGCCCATCTCACAGCAGTCCCTATGGGAGATGTCATTATTAACCCGCAGAACAAATGGGAAACTGAGGCACGGGGTGCTTTCCCAAAGGCTCTTCAGCTTGGTGGTGCCGCCCAATGGGAGCCTGCATCCCTGCCCCTCCCCGGGGAGTGGGTGCCTGTCCCCAGGCTGGGGGCTCACGCGTCCCTCCCCCCCCAGGGCCCGAGCACTGGCACAAGGACTTCCCCATTGCCAAGGGCCACCGCCAGTCCCCTGTGGACATCGACACCAAAGCCGCCGCTCACGACCCTGCGCTGAAGCCCCTGACCGTGTCCTACGAGCAGGTGGCGTCCAGGCGGATCCTCAACAACGGCCACTCCTTCAACGTGGAGTTTGACGACTCCCAGAACACAGCAGGTCAGTGGCTAACGCATCACTGGGGCCTTTTACCCAAAAGCTGTTTTCCTGGTGAAGGGGGACCCTTCTCAGCCCTGAAGAGCCAGGCTGGGGACTGGCACAGATGCCAGGCTCAGAGGGCAGGCCGATGACCTTGAAGTGACCTGGGCGGCTCCTCCCTGGAACAGTCCCGGGTCCCTTGCAGGCCACTGAGAACCTGGGACCTGCCTCTGAAAATTCCAAAAGGCAGTGTCCCCTGGCAAGAAACATCAACAGTGATGTTTTGCAAAATTAGAACATTTAAGTTCTGTTCCTCTCTCACATCAATGTCTGCCCCCTCCCTCTCCCTCTCCCTCTCCCTCTCCCTCTCCCTCTCCCTCTCCCTCTCCGTCTCCCTCTCCCTCTCCCTCACCCTCTCCCTCTCCCTCTCCCTCTCCCTCTCCCTCTCCCTCTCCCTCTCCCTCTCTCTCTGAAATCAACAAAAACATACTTTTAAAAATTAGAAATTTAAGTTCTAAGTTTCACTCTCACATAGATATTTCTCTCCCTTCCTCTCTAAAAACCAATGGAAACATGTCTTTGGGTGAGGATAAAAAACCGACAACCTCCCCCCCACCCCACCCCCCAACCCCCGCCCAAATTCTTGGAAACAAAATTCTGAGTATTTTCTGGGTGTTGGGCTAGCGCGATAAAGGTGGCAGTACAGCTTGGTATCTACTGAGAAAGTCATTCCACGAATGAAGATGGTTTAGAGCTGGTGGATATACTTGGCCCATTACGGACAAAACCGATTACCATCATTTGTTTGTAATGAGCTGTTTTCAGGGCGCTCGTTGAATGCTGTGCTTTTCCTTGTTTAGAAATAGAGCCCCCCCCCCCCCCCCCCCCACACACACACCATTCAGCCGTAGTCCTGCCTCTTTGCCCACTGGTTGATGTTATTGCCCTGTTTTCCTGAGCGCTGCCTCTGAAGGTCCGTGGCCGCTGCTGCAAACACACAGGCGGGCGCTGGGAGGGGCCTGGGACAATGAGAAGGAGCGCGATGGTGCTGCTAAAACGGTGCTTCCACAGCCGCAGCTCTAGCATCTCCGGTAACCAGAGCCCTCGGAGGCGCGGCCACTGTCCTGCTCAGCTCTTACCCCTGTATTCAGCACTGTTTTGAAAAAGTTCTTCCCTGCCCCTTTCCCATTTTAAAATTTCTTGATACTTGGCTTTCTGAATAGTGATTTGGGAAGACAGTTTGATGGAGGGTAATGTAGAGGTGATCTGAGAAGTGTTCCCACCCCGTGCTCTGGGTCACCTCACCCAGCACACACGCACACGGACACACATGGACACACATGGACACACACGGTTTTCTAGGTTTTGAGGATTAGAGTTGGTGGAGGGTGTCCCCTGGAGACCCTTCTGTGGCTTTCTGCCGTGTCACCTTCCCCGGCGCCTCCCACTCCAAAGCAACAACGCTCGGCGATTAAGTTAAACATAATGTTAAATATAAGGGAGACAGTTTCTTTCCTTCGTGTGAAGACTGTAATAGGACAAGGCCAAAGGTCTTGGCTGTATTGTACATATAGAAAGGATGCCATAACACTTTGTGTTTGGTTATTTAAAAAAACAAAAGCTACTTTAGTCTGTAGTTGTCAGCTTTTTTTTTTAAGAGACAATGGGCATTCAGTGTTGCCAATGAAATCATTGTTTTCCCTGGGTCTACCAGTTACATAGTAGATTTAATTCTGGATGCTACAAAGAATCCAGTATAAGATCACATGCCGACTGAGTGCTGAGAGTCTTTCTTGGAACAATGAGAAACAAATGGAACCGTGCACTGTTCTAGTGCGTGTGTCTTGGGGAGCGGGGGTCAGCATTTGGTGGTAGCTGTGAGCCTCGCCCGGGGTCCGTGGCCCTGGTGGCAGCAGCCTGGCCTCTCGGAGGTTTGCTTTCTTCCCGTGAAACTGGAGTGAGGGTGGCGTGCACCGGAGGGGGAAGCGTGCTGAGCTCTAAGATTACCGCCGGCGCTTCCTCGATGGGGTTTCCACGTCTCGTTTGTCAGTGTATCGGCACGTGCCATGTATGATATTAAAGGGGTCCTGCTGGTTTCCTACGTGGCACCCAGCTGTAGCTGCGCGTCCGGCCACGCGCCCGCCGCTCCCGGGGGCTTTCTCCACGGGCAGGGGCTGGTCACCTGGCTTCCCATCTCTGTGGCCACTTGCATGTGTAAGGCGGCAGCCCGGCCGTGTTTAGATTGTGAACCGAGAACACAGGTGGGTCAGTTTAGGGAGGGGCTCAAATCCACGCGTGGAGACACGTGGACTTCACTTAGTTCTCATTTTAGAAACCCTCACTAACACAACGAGATTCGAGGTCAGGCAGGCACCTGAGGGCCGGCCAGGGGCCGGGGCACCTCGGGAGAAAGGTGGGAGTAATGGCTGGGCCAGCCGCTCCCAGACGTGCGACAGGAAGTCTCCCAGGGCCGAGGAAACAGGGAGGCCTGAGCTGGCCCGGGTCTCGGTGAGGCCAGGCCTAGGCTGGGAGGGGCTCCAGGCGAAGGAAGAGGTCGGCCCGAGGCTGCCAGGGCACAGCACCTGCTGGCACCGGCCGGAAGGCACGGGAACCGGACGGGCAGGCGCAGAAAGACCTCTCTTCGCATGTGAAAGTCTCCTTTGTGACTCTGTGCAAACACTGCAACCTCCTCAGCTGTTCTGGTTAAACAGGAAGCTTTCTCTCTTTTCGAGAATGCGGAATGCATTAAATATTGATGTTAAGGGAAAACACACCCACAGAATTAAAACAGAACCAAAGCGATCGTACCAGGCAGGGGAACAGCCTTCAGACTTTTGTAAAGATCCTGGCCTCTCAGGTTAGAAGAAGCGGCCGCCAGGCGTGAGGCAGAGGCTGGCCTCCCCGTCCCGGGAGTGACTGCCTGGGGACTTCAGAATAGGAGGGAATAGAAATCTTCACAAAATAACACGGCTAACCTAGTGTGTGCACACCGTCTCCAGCACTGCGCTTTTCTGTCCACATACGTCTCAAAATAATTTATCCTTCTGGTCACCCAAGCTCGTTAAGTCAACAGTTTAACATCTCTTTTTGTTAGGAGTTATTGTTATGGTGTTTATCATTTTTATATCCTTTGCCACTCATTTTATACTTTTAAACCCTTAAGTTTATTTCCTTTTCCCTCCCTCTGTGATTTCAGTCTTCTAGCACTTCTCAGAGGTTCAGATTTTCAAATATATCCTAAATGCTATCTTATCTCCAAACTCAAACATGGAGTCAGGAGCTGAGCCGGCAGAACTTATCGCTGTTTAAGCCCAGGGAGTTCTTTTTGCCTGTGAGGTAATGGGCTGTGACCAGAACCTTGGGCTAAAGCCCTCATCAATCTTCTAAATTCCTTTAAAAACAAACCACCTTAAATTAATGAAAAATCGTTAATCTTGTTAGAGTTTTTTCATTATTAGAAAATAACTCCCCCTGCTTAAGATCTTTTATTACTATCTTTATTTGAGAGAAAAGATCAGCAGTCAAAATTCCTAATTCCTGCTAACTTATTAACTTTTATTAATGAGTGTAAAACTCTCCTGCTTTATTGCGAAGTTAGAGGCAAATACTGAAAGACAACATCTGGATTATTGAGCTAATCCATACACAGCATTATTTCTGTGTTGTTTTTTGAGAAATTGGAATGTTTGTGTCTGTTTATATTAATTCAAGAAGGAAGGCGGCCGAGCTGTCCTGGCCCCGGCCGGGCGAGCAGACCTGCTCTGGGCATATTCTGGGTTCTGCTTGCTTTTCAGGAACCTGCTCTTGAAGCTGCTAAACTTCCCTCCCACAGACAATCTTAGCTCCAAAGGAAACAACCACCACAAATGGCAGGGCTTGCCTGCAAAGCGCGGCCCTCACCCAACCCCGCCAAGCTGCAGCATGCCATGCCGATCACGTTCACGGCGCGCGCGTGTGTGTGTGTGTGTGTGTGTGTGTGTGTCTGTGTTCGGGCTCTCAGTCCGCATCGTAGATGCTCACGGTCTGCCTGCAGTAGCACGCATGTCATGTCCAGTGTGTGTCACAGATGTGAACCTCCACCCCCTCGGCTCCCGTGCAGCTGCTGCCAGGCACCGTGTGTGTACATACCTGCGTCTCCTTTTTAATTCTTGGACAGTTGCCATCCACCTGCCTCTAAAAGCTGAATTTCCGTGTGTCTACGTAGCGCAGGGCAGCCTGCCATTTTGCTCCTCAGAAGCAGCCGCGCGGGCCGTCCGCTTCGCCCTGGGCCGCCCGATGTCCGCTCTCCTCTCCCGGGGAGGCCTGGCCGCCGCCTCCGCCGGGAAGGCCACAGGGATGCAGTGTGGTAGTTTTCTGATTGTTCACAGAGAGCGTTGTTCACCTGTTGGAAATGCTGTGTTTAGTGGATTTATTTCTTCACATTGTTGACAGGAAACTCCTTAAATTTTAAGTTTGAACCAAAGACCATCGGGTTAGTTTATTTGTATTTTGGATCTAAGAGAGATTATTGACTTCCAGGGAGGTCTTTGTTATTTGGATGCATTTTATATGAAGGGATCATGTGATTTGGAAGAAAAAAATTCAAAGCGTTAACATTTCAGTTTTTAATTTGTGTAGGTGGTCTGATTTATCTCAGTATGACTGGCGTGACTGTCTTAATTTTTACAAACAACCTATATTCAACATAATTTTTCCACGTAATCTGTACAGGAAGACAGATGCGTCTAGAATATACTTGGTGCTCACTTTGCAGTTTGTGCATTAAGTTGGTACAACTGAGGCAGTCACGGCAGTGAAAGGCTGCAGCGCCCGTGGGCGGGGGGGGGGGGGGGGGGAGGGAGAAAGTGGGGGGGAGGGGGAATCGGGGCTTCAGTTGCATGGAGCCCGCGTGAGTCTGTCCTTCCCGTGCAGCACGTTTCCGCCAGGCAGCAGGCCATGCCTCGTCCACCCCACGGGCCTCATTGCCTTTTACAGAAACAACTTCTGCTATTTTTAAACCTTATTTTTGCAGTAGAAAAGCAGGTTTCATTTTAAACTGGGGTAGTTTAGAGGTGACCTGAGGCAGCCAACGTAAAGCAAGTAAGCAAGCAGAACCAGAGGCAGCCGCTTCCCAGCTTCCAGCTCGTGCTGTCTGTGCTGCTTCTCAGTTAAAAAGAGAGGTGCCCTTTACGACAGCTCAGGGCAAGTTATCATCATAACAATGAAGTCTTGAGGGACTTCATTGACTAGACATCATGTTAAGGAGTTCTGAGAAATAACCAACTAGTTGAAGAAGGTCAGAAATGCTGCCTTTAATAGCAAGTAAACAGTAACTATAATAATCTTTTAAAATTACAACAGGCTTACAATTTACATAGCCACATAGTTTTATTTTAATAGGAGTGAAAACAGGTATCTGGTAATAACAGATCAGCATGGAATGTGTTTAATCATTGAACCCAGAGCTTAATTCCTTTTCCTTTTGAGTATTAGTAAGTCCCGTTTAATGAAAGCTCATATATACTCTTGCCTGACTCTAAATGTTCTCTGTAAGAAGTAAAGTAGGATGGAATCTTAACATCCGCCAGAGAGTGAGTAAGAACTAGCTCTAAGCTTCATGATCTTTAAAGTTTAAGATTCTGACAAGATTCTTCACAGGGAGGGAGCTTAGTCAGCTCAGATTTTACTTAACTCACTTTCCCACTTGGTAGAATGAATGATGTTACAAATGGTTTTCATGATCAGCCCGCCAGTTAGTTAGTAGCTTTAAAAAGTTATAAAGGAATTAATTCCAACATCAATTTATTTCATAAACAAGTATTTTGTTTTAAGGCTATATCATTAAGAAAAATAGGAATTATCTCATTTCTGAAAAAGCCTATTTGGGGTGATAAGGCTAATTTTTTCCTCGTAGACTTATGAGGTTAAAAAAAGCTTTTACAATTAATTGTTATTAAGTTTCAAGAGAGGTGATTTTTGTCAGAAAACATGCAAATTCCTGTTTCTTAGCAGCTCTGTAACATAGCACTATTTATGGTTCGCGGGTTTTTTCATTCTCTCTTTCTCCCGCCTGTGAAAAGCAGAGGCGCACCAAGGCCATGCCAGGAGCCACAGAAAACCTCCACCCGAACCTCCCATCGGCTTCCCCTTCCCTTCCACTAGATGAGTGTCTGCTGCCGCCTTGTAAGCACATTTAGCTAAAGGGAAGCCAGCAAACTTGTCCATCCAGACTTGGTCCCTTTGATTTGCAAAGCCAAAGTTTGGACTCATTCTTTTATGAATTATAAACCAAAACTAGTAAGATATACTTATGGGAACAGATGTTTAATCCCAGTTCTGGAAAAAATAACGTTGAAGTGGTAGAACTAAACTAACTTTAAAAGCTTTAAAATATACTGGTTAAATCCCATTAATACATATAAGTCAGGTAAAAAGTTTTTGGAGGGGATAGGGAAGCAGTGACCTCTTACTATTTTAATCCTCTCTTAAGACACAACTGTCACAGATAGGTTGTGGTCTAACACCGCGATTTCTAGGACTGCTTTTACTGTAATTAATGCCAGAACATTGGAATCATGAGATAGTTATTCAAGTTAGAATTAGAAGTTCCTGGAGATAATAGACCCCTCCACTAGTATGTGATCAGTACCTAGTGGAGTCATCAACCATTGGATGTACCCATTTTACAGATGAGGACGTTAGGGGCAGAGAAGGTAAATAAAAATTTTAAAGGGACAAAGCTAGTCAGTAGCTTTTGGATTTGAATGGTCACTGCTACTAAAGGATTTGGAAAGCCTGTGTGAGGAAAATAGGATTTTATAACATTGAGATCAAGAATGCTGGTATTTCAGTAATTCTGGCTTGTAGGCCTGTCCTGACAGGTTAGCTGAGTCGCCCCTGGACAGTCCCTGCGGAGAGGCAGCCACATTTGTGCGAATGTGCCCGAGGCCTGCGCTGGCCAGCAACAGAAGAACTTCCTCCGTGACTCACAGAAGAAGCCATAGCTTCCTTAACATTTCCTCTCTCTGCCCTGACCCTATGACCCCCAAGCAAACCCAGAAGAGAGGTGCCAGGTGCTCAGCAGACAGAGGGAAAAGCAGCGTCCTTTAGGCAACACGCGGAGGAACAGGTACCGCGTATTCTGCTCCGAGCTGTGGGCCAAACCGGAGCCCGGATTAAATTTCCAGAGTGAAAATGTTGCTATGGGCACAGATGCAGGACTACACAATGGGATTCAAATGTAACGTTAGTGGTGTGAGTTCCATAGCACATGTATGAGTATGCACTGTACACTTGTGTATACACACACGCACACGTATATTTTTACATTTCAGTGCTGAAGGGAGGGCCTCTCGCTGACACCTACCGACTGGTTCAGTTCCACTTTCACTGGGGCTCATGCGATGGGCAGGGCTCGGAGCACACAGTGGATCAGGAGAAATACGCCGCAGAGGTAACCTATGCTTGCTTGCTTCTGGGAAAAACACAGTGATACTTGGCATTAATTTCAAAAGCTTAATTTTGTAAATTCAGCTTAAACAGGGGGAACCACTTTCTGAACAAAAGACCTTCACACTTGCTTATCGCTGCTCCAAGGACAGCGTTGGGGGAGTGAGTGAATTCAAGTGGGAGGACCTGTTTTCATATAAACCTAGAAACAGAATTTGCGTCTTCCCGCAGAACATGCAACTCTTGCTGTTGATGAAATCACTTGCTAGTATGCCAAACAGTTTAAATAGAATTAAAATGAAGGAAAGGCTTACTTTTAAAATGCCCAGAGACCACAGTGGGGGGTGGGGATGGGGGCAGGGTCCCTGGTTCTGTCCATCCTCACTGTGAGTGGTCTGTCTCCTGTCGCAGCTGCACCTGGTTCACTGGAACACCAAGTACGGGGATTTCGGGACGGCCGTCAAACAACCCGACGGGCTGGCTGTTTTGGGTGTTTTTTTGAAGGTAAGTGGGTGGCCCAGTTCTTTCCCCCCTGTTTTCAGCAAAGATGAGCCAGACAGGACACTTCTAGCCAATAGGACATTCTCCAGAGAGCCTGGGTGGAGATGGGACCAAGGAGGACTTGAGAAGTGGTGTTGGCACTGTTCCAAGTGACAGTGACGACGCGTCCCTGTGAGGTGAAGGGAGCAAGAGCGACCCGGCCCACGTCCACGGTTCCTCCCCTTGAGCTGGACAGTGTCTTTCATGACAGATGGCTGTGGGGGGAGGACACACTTTCCTCTGCCCTCGAGGTGCTCCTGGCCGGCCCAGCAGCCCAATAGACCTGAGGCAAGAGAAATAACCATTGGAGAACATCCGCCTGCATGGGAACCCCGCAGACAGGAGAGTCAGAGTCCACCTGCAGGAGCGGGAACCTGGGCTCTGAGACATCTGAGCTGGGGGTGGGGAGGGCCTGGGGGCCTCAGCAGGCCCTGCAGGAGGGTAAGAAGGGCAGCCCTTTAATCAGCAGTTTTCCCTGCCCTGCAGCCATGACAAAGGGTTATCTCTGATCACCTCTTCTGAGCAGAGCCTCTCACTCAAATTCTTCTAAGTAGTTAAAGTGGGAGGAGGGGGTAGAAGTTTGCTAAGGTTGACTTTAGCTCCAAACAATCTGCACCCCACAGAGGCACACAGCAGGGACGGGGTAGGGGGACTTATTTGGACCCCACATGCTAAAGGAAGGGCAGGCTCTCAGGCTGGAGGACGGCTCCATAGTGGGGAATTGCAGGCAACAGGGGACGGAAGGTTGAGCTGCCATCCTGACAGTTGTAAAGCCAGTGGAGTCATGGGCTGGTGAGTCACGGCTGGACTATGTCAAGGTGGGAGCCGCGTGTCATGAAACCATCCACAGAAAGCATGGAGAGGCGTGGACAGACGCTGATTAGATGATGGAAGGAAACGAGGGCTGAGGGGTTGGGAAGGCAGGAGAGCCAAGGGAGAGTGTTAAAAGCGAGGGCGGACAGTCGGCGAAGGCCTGCGAGAAGGTGCAGGCGAGCTCGGGCCAGTGTCCTTCCTTCTGAGCTGAGAGCACTGTTGCCGCTGGAGAGGATGAGAAGCTCGCCTCTGGGGCTGCCAGGGCTGCGGCCGGTGTTCGTGGGGGGTCTGGTGGGGCCAGGTAGCGAGTGCGGGGTTTGGGTTTACTCTTTGGAGAAATTCTATGATAGAACTGCCCAGATCCAACGGGTGTGGTGCCACCCGTCATACAGCACCTGGTCCCGTGTCTTGCTCTAGGTCGGCGACGCTAAGCCGGGCCTCCAGAAGGTCGTCGATGCGCTGTGCTCCATTAAAACAAAGGTACGTGAGTGTCCCGCCACCCCACGGGCTTGGGGAAACGCTTTTGTTCAAATGGAATAGTTTTGGCTTGACAAGGGGTGTTTGGGAGAGCAATCAATAAAGGTAAAATGTTGCTTATATATGTATTTAACTCTTTTGTAATCCAAAAGTGGATCTTGATGCCCGTTTAAGTTAGACTTGTGTTTGCGTAATCTGGCTTCCCCATCCACGCGTCCCTGTGCGTGTCAAGGGTTCGTGCCTGGGAGGAGGCTGAAAGGCCGCCTGCTCAGCCAGCCACTCACCCCTGCGCAGGGATCTCCTGAGGGCCTGCCACGTGCCGGCCACTTCGTACCGTGGTGAACGCGACGCACAGGGCCCGCCTCAGGGAGGTGTCTGTTTTGAGCCTCCTCGAATTGTTTCGTCCCATGTTTAAACCCTCCCGACGGCCCAGCTGCACTGAGGTCAATGGGCATCGGCGTAAATTAAATACTGCCATGGCCAGTGGCAGCCCTGGCTCCGTAAAGCTCGCCCTCACAGCAGCCTCTGTCTTCTGAAATGCTCACCTCCCACCTCTAGCTTGACGCCCTTGACTCCTGAATAAACCTGATCTGAAAGCACTAACTCAAAAAGACGCCTGCACCCCATGCTCATCATCGCAGCATCATTCACGACAGCCAACTGGGGGGGCGGGGGGCGGGGCTAAGTGTCCACCAATGAGTGAACGGATAAAGAACATGAGGTGCATAAGGAAATGTGACTCCACCTTAAACAGAATGGAACTGGCCATCTGTGAGGGCACGGGGCTGAGAGGAGTCAGGTTCTCCAGCTCATGGCTGTTTCTGGGCAGACGCCTCGGTTACGCTCCTTATGTTCTGTTTCCTGGGGAGTGGACTCTTTAAAATGCAGCTGGGCTGTTAGGTGTGCCTCCTGCCCAACCATGAGGCTCTAACCTGAGTGTCGCCTGTGCCAGGGTAAGAGCGCCGCCTTCACTGGCTTCGACCCGTGCGGGCTCCTCCCCGGGTGCCTGGACTACTGGACCTACCCCGGCTCGCTGACCACGCCGCCGCTGCTGGAGTGCGTGACCTGGATCGTGCTCAGGGAGCCCATCAGCGTGAGCAGCGAGCAGGTGGGTCCCCGACGGCGGGCGGGCTGGGTGCGGGGCTGTGGAGTCAGCCAACCTGGTAACCTCCTCCTGGTGCTCTGGCCGTGGGTCCGTGTGCGCAGAGCTGAGCTACTAAACATGCAATAAACACGGTTCGTCATTAACCATAGCCTGAAGCTGTAAACACAGGCAGAATGAGGGTCCGGTGGGCCAGGTGCCTTCACCGAATGAGTGCTGCTTCTGTGAACGCTGAGAAAGCGAAGCCTGCGCAATGACCTGTCACGCCCACGGTTACAGGGTCAGGATGCTTCTCAGCCCCCTGACTCCTGAGGAAGGCGAGGGGCCTTGCAGAAACTATTCAACTCAGTCCCCGCGGCCAGAGTGGCCGGAGGCTGAGGCAGACCCCTCGCCGTGCGCTGGGTGCAGTGCCGTCTGCCCGGCAGGTGATTAAGGCCTTGCAGTCCCAGCGGAGCAGGGGCAGGGGCAGGGGCAGGGCAGGGCAGGTCACCGTCGTCCACTTCAATCAAAGTGACTTTGTGGGGGGCACTGTGGGAATGTCACTGAACCAAACAGCTCAGGCTGCTGACTGGTGGCGGCCGACCTCCTTCACGCAGATCAAGTCTCGAGAAGGGAAAGGGAAGAACCACTTTGCAAAACCACCTCTGAGAAGTGGGGGCGGGTGAGGGCTGCCTGTGTCCATCACGGGGCCAGGGAACAAACTTCAAATGGAACAAAACTCAACCAAGGCACCTGGGCGGCATGGCTCAGTGGTTGAGCATTGACCTCTGAACCAGGGCACATGCTCGGGGTGTGGGCTCAGTTCCCAGTGTGGGGTGTGCAGGAGGCAGCCAATCGATGATTCTCTCTCATTCCTGATGTGTCTCTCTCCCTTCCTGCTTAAAAAATAAAAGAGTCACCCTAGCCAGTTTGGCTCAGTGGATAGAGCATCGGCCTGTGAACCCAAAGGTCCCGGGTTCGATTCTGATCAAGGGCAAGCTGCAGGCTCCTCCCCGGCCCGGGCCGTGGTCAGGGCTCCTGCAGGAGGCAACCAATCGATGTGTTTCTCTCACACGGATGTTCTCTATCTGTCCCTCTCCCTTCCACTCTCCCTAAAAATTAATGGAAAAGTATCCTCGGGTGAGGATTAACCAAAAACAAATAAATAAATAAACAAACAAACAATAAAATAAAAATAAAAAGATCCACCAAGACCAGGACTGGACGCCCACTCGGCACAGCCCTCCAGGGCAGTGTCCTGCGCTTTTGAGCAGAGACGCCGGCCTGCCTTCCGGCTCTGGGCTTGCCGACCCTGGACCCCCAACTGCACAGGTGCTGTAGTTCACCCTCCCCAGGGCAGACGCAGACCTTTAATTTTCACTTGGGATTGTTATGTTACATCTCAAAGGTATAAAGTCAGGAGGAAAGCAGAAAGCGAACGGAAATGGCCTTCAGCAACAGCAGCGATTCCGAGCGTGTGTCATAGAGAGGGATCCGTCGGTGAACACATGCATGTGCATCTGTGATTATCTGTGGGGTCCTGTGAGACGTGAACATGGGTACATGGTGCTGTGCACATAGGGGAGCCCATGTCAGATATGACCCAGCGCGTCCCTCAGTATCGCCGTGAAACGTTTCTTTTTAATTTTCGAATCTTTCCTGTGTCTTTTAGATAAACACGTTCCGTCAGCTTAGCTTCAACAAGGAGGGGGAGGCAGAAGAACTCATGGTGGACAACTGGCGCCCCACACAGCCCCTGCACGGCCGCCAGGTCAGGGCGTCCTTCCAGTGAGATGCGGGCCGCGGTCCCCAGCGTCCGAGGTCCCCGACGCGGAGCACCGGCCCACGCGGCGAATCGGACCTGCTGCTCTGCGTCCCCGACTGCTGGGCTCCCAACTAGACCCTTCCTGTCCCCTCCCGTCCCCCTGACGCTTGCTATTCCCGTGGGAGGAGCCGGGCCAGCTGTCCACGATGCAGCGACGTGGTGGGCGGTGCTTTGCTGGGGGTGGCCTTCCTGTAAGAAATGATTAAAGGGATCGGAGGGGAACTGCCTGTTCACAGCGCGGGGTGAGCCTCACACGGGGTGTCAGATGGGAGGAGGTGGGTTCGGATCTGCACTGGGAGATCGCGGTGATGTGAATCAGGTAAAATGCTCAGGATTCTGTGCGACGTGAACCAGACGGGATCACTGTTCTGACTCCAAGATGTTGTACGAAAGAGAAATCCTCACATTCGTCTATATTTGTAGCAAAGTCCCCTTACATGTGACTCCTGCCATAATTCAGTGGCTTCTGAGCTGCAGAGGTCCACGAGGTAGAATCTAAAAACTGGTATCATTGTCGCTGTGACACAGAATGTATTTCCATCCAGAAAATATGTTCTCTGTTAATAAATGCTGTATTTTGGGTATATTCTCTAATAAAGCCCGATTTCTCTTTGGAGCGCTGTGCTTTATGCTGGGGGAGTGGGCGTGTGTGGGATAGTTCCCGTCGGTTCATTGCTGGGGTGAGCGTGTCGGCTTCCTCAGGACTGGAGGACCCCGAAGGCCTGGCCGGTTCGCGCCAAGGGGAGCAGGCGGAGCAGATGGAACGCACAGCTGCCCAGGAACAGAGGAATGGCCTCAGCCTGCGCTGCGTCAGCAGGGTTGTCGATATCTCTGGCCCCGCTCTGGCCCCACTCCGGCCACACCGAGCTGCTGGGTGAGGGGAGCGGGCCTGGACTTGTGTGCGGTCCCCCGTCCCTGCTGGCCTCTTGGGGTGGCCTTTCTGTGAGGGAATCTGGTTAAAGGCTGGCTGGCCTGGCCCCTGATCAGTGTGCTGACATCTTTCATCTGGTTGGGAGGGACCCGTAGCTGAACGTATCCCCACCACCGCCTCCGGTCGCCAGGTCCTGTCTGCTCCTATCATAGCCTAGGGCAGTGATGGCGAATTTTTTGAGCTCGGCGTGTCAGCATTTTGAAAAACCCTAACTTAACTCTGGTGCCGTGTCACCTATAGAAATTTTTTGGTATTTGCAACCATAGTAAAACAAAGACTTATATTTTTGGTATTTATTTTATATATTTAAATGCCACTTAACAAAGAAAAATCAACCAAAAAAATGAGTTCGCGTGTCACCTCTGACACGCGTGTCATAGGTTCGCCATTGCTGACCTAGGGGGCAAGTATGAGGGACCCCCCCCCGTCACACAGGCAGAGCCCCCCACAGGGACAGCTGCCTCTTCTGACCAGGTCGTGAGTCCTTGCTCCCCTCACCACCCACATTTGGTTCTGAAGATGGGTGGGACAGGAGGACAGGGGGACGGGGTGCTGACATCTTCCTCTCCCCCTCCCCTTCCCCTCCTCCACCCCGCACGCTGGGCCAGAAAGCTGACCCTCCTTCCTCCGGGACCCCCCCCTCCGCCCTCTCCTCAGCAGCACTGACCTGCCCCGCTCCCTCCACCCCCACCCCCCTGCAGGGCCGCCAGAGCAGCGAGATGCACAGAGGAACATGGTTTCACAACAGGGTGTTGGGGATGGTTGCACAACAGTGGAATGTGCTTAATAGCACACACTGTACACGTACAAGGCTAAAATGGTACGTTTCATCACAATTTTTTAGAAGGCTGATAGGATTACTTTTTTATTATCTAGCGTGTCATTCCCCACCTCTGCCTGTTGAAAACAGGCATGTTTTGCACAAAACAAACAGGTACTTATAAATCTCACTTAGCAGATGGGAAGGGCCTTGAACATGCCTGGGCATCAACAGGAGGGGGACTTGGGGTGACGAGTGCCCAAGTTCGTGCTGGCTCTGCGGTTCGATGGTCTATTAAAGCCTGGCTTTTGTCTCAGCTGCAGAAACTGGGGCGAGCTCCTTAATCTTCTTAAATCTCCTATTTCTCATCTGCAACTCGAGGGGATAATACTAGCAAATCCCCTCCCACTCCTGTGCTCGACCCGGCACAGACACGCCAGCACACCCAGGAGCACCAGTAAGTACCAGCTATGGCCAGAGAGGCCACGGGGGCCCAGACGCAACCAGCGAAGTCTTCAGGATTGGCAGCTGTGAGCTCCCCTGACCCCTCCTCCGCTCCTCCGGCCCTGAGGACCCCCGTCTCCTTCCTGGGTGATGCCCCCAGAATCCGTGTATGTCCTGACCATCCCGTGGAGTCTATTTATAGCACCCAAAACTGCCGGAGGATGAAAATAAGCGTTTTCCCCATTGGCTTCCGGGTCTAGAAAGCATTTATGCAACCGGAAAGCAAAATCCAGTCGCTCCCTATTGCACTGCCTCCTGCGACAGGCATTGAAAGGGGTGTTCTTAATCCTTCACTGCCAAGGAGGCCACGCAGCTCCTCCTCGCGGGCTGGCAGGATGGTCTGCAGCCTGGGCCGTGGCGCAGAGACAAGCTCCCAACTGCCAGGCCTTCCTTCCTGGGCTCTCATTCCATTTTTCTGAAAGGAGACGACGAATCTGTCAGGTTGACATTCTTGTTTTACTGCTGACGACCCTGCAGAGCTTATGCGCCATGTCAGCCTGGAGGCAAAGCATCTCGATGTTCCATATGCACCACTGTTGGCAACAGACAGTCACAGGTGAGGCATCAGAAACACACGAAAATGAGTGTTGTGCCTGAAAGGAAGGTGAGAGCGGGACGTGCAGTTGCTAGGGTCCCACTGAGAGGGGGGTCTTCCAACTGTGCGGCCTTGGGCACCGGGCCCTGTGGGCTGGCTCACGGGAAGTGCTCGGTAGGTAGCTGTTCTCACGCAGACCCTCCAAAGAGCCCTGTTTTCTCCGACCCAGGCACGTCCTCGCCGAGGACCGGATCGCAGCGGCCTCCGCCCGGCAGCGCGGGCAGAGGGAGGAAGAGAGTCAGCGCGAGGCCGGCCTGGCTGCCGCCTGAGCACTGGCGCTGCTGGCGCTGCCTGTGAGGCCACAGGTAAGGATGTGACCGCCCTGGCTTCAGTGCCCTCATCGCTCACTGGAGATAACTGGGGTTCCTGCCTGTCAGGGTTGTTTTGAGGACTTAAAGGGGTATCCCGGGTAAAACTCTTATGCCACCCTAAGGTGTTAACTAAGAGACGTTAGAGGAGATGATGAGGAATTTATCGACTTGGCCTTGCACAGATCTGTGGCGCGAGTGGCGGTGGGTTTTCCAGGTCAGGGGCGGGCACCAGCCCACAGGTGAGCGGCGGCTGCCTCCCACCCCCGGGCTTTCCCTGCAGAGCCCCCGAGGGATGCTGGGATCTTCTGCGGGCAACTCAAGGAACACCTCTGAGGTTGGACAGGTCGGCGGACAGATGGGTCATTAGCTGTGGACGGCGGCTCGGGAATGAGCGTGTGGGAACACGAGCATCAGACAGAGAGAGAGCTGTCAGCTGTCGGGCTGGCCGGCGCCAGGGTTGAGTTTTCCGCTGACCCAGTTGAGTTCAATGAGCTGTTGGGGGAGGGAGGCGTCCCCACGCATCCCCACGTCTTCACTGCGCTGGGAGCCAGCCTGCAATGCACTTGCTGAGTCTTTATTCGCCCACCTCCCAGGCAGTGTGCGTGTGTAGAAAATGCCACTGTCCTTTAAATAATGGATGGGATATACACGGGGAGTTTCAATGGCTGCGCCAGAAAATCATTGTGCGTCTGGAAGAAAGAGACAGCCGAGCCCCGCGTGCTCGCACTGCGCCTACAGCTGCCTTCACAGAGGCAGACCTGACAGCGTTTGTGTAGATGCCAACGGGAACGACATACACACATCGAGCCGCACTCACGCCCTGGCGTCTCGGGACGTGTCTGCTGGGAAGTTCGTTTGGGGGAAGCGGGGCCCCTGCTCACGTGTCCCCAGCACTGGCTCATTCCAGAGCCTCGGTCCCCGCGAGGGCAGCGCCTCCACGCATGGGACGTGCGCCTGCTTCCAGCGCTTCTGCAGCCTCAGCTGAGATGGAGCGGAGCTCCGTTAGCTGGCAAGGCAGCAGCGCACACATCGGTTCTGCGCTAACACACTGAGTCTGAGGAAAAACAAGAACTCACTTTCAGACTTAAGCCTTGTGTTCTGGCTCCTCTGGATTTCAGAGGTTTCTCTTTTCCTTCTTTTCCAGATGTTTCCTCTAAAGGGAATTCTGAATCAACGCTCCCTACAGCCTTCCTTTGCTCTTCGGGGATGGGAAGCAAAGCCTGACACTGGGTGCAGGAGGCTGCCCGCCAGCGGAGGAGGGACAGAGCCGGGACGGAGACCAAGGAGGCGAGAAGCCGGCGGCAGGGCCGCTGCCCTGCATTGGATGCCCAGCCTCCCGTCCTGAGGCGCGAGGTCCTCTCCTCCTGATTATCCCAAGTGCCTGCAGCGGATCACAGGCCACGGTGCCCAGCGCGGCCCGGCCGCTGCCTCCACTCGGGGCTCGGAGCCAGGCTCCTGTCCCCAGGAAGGCAGCAGATCAAGGACTCTCTCCTTTTAGAATCGAAACAAGACACCGCTTCCATGTGCCTCTTCCATCACAACAGGGGCACGACCGCCCCGTTCCTACCTCTGTGCTTGGCGGGCACTGCAAGTGGGCCGCGACCCCTTCTGAATCAGTGGCGCAGGGCTTCTTTCTGTGACCGCGCTCACGCCAGTGACCAGGACACTCGGCCAGCAGCTAGGGTGGATGGCAGTTCTTTTATTTTTTAAATATATTTTTATTGATTTCAGAGAGGAAGGGAGAGGGAGAGAGAGATAGAAACATCAAGGATGGGAGAGAATCATTGATCGGCTGCCTCCTGCTTGCCCCCCACTGGGGATGAGCCCGCAACCCAGGCAGGTGGCCTTGACTGGAATCTAACCTGGGACCCTTCAGTCCACAGGCCGACGCTCTGTCCACTGAGCCACACCAGCCAGGACTGGATGGCAGTTCTAAGAATCTTTACGGAGCACCAGTATCTTTCTGCTTCAAAGTAGATGGAAGCAAGAAGTAAAGCCGCATGTCCCAGCTCCATGATAAGGCCTCTGCCAGTGTCTGGGATGATATTATATTTAACTGGTTTTCTTTTGGTTTTTTAATTAAATCTTTATTGTTGAAAGTATTATGTCCCCTTTCTTCCCCCATTGACCCCCTTCTAGCTGGTTTGTCCCCCCCCCCATGCCCCTGCCCCAGGCCTTCACCCCCTGCTGTCTGTGTCCATGGGCCTTGCATAGAGGCATAGAAGTCCTTTGGTTGGTCTCTTCCCACCCTCCCTCCCTCCCCCGCTGGAGCTTGGTTAGAGCAGGCCTGACCCCAGATAAGCCCTGGAAGGAAACTAGCTCCCCTGAGCCTCCATGGCCATCGGGAGAAACGCAGAGAATAGCCTAAGGGGCCTCGTGTGAGGGGAGCCAGCACTGCAAGGCCGGCCCGGCTGGAGGTGAGGGTAGTTTCTCTGTCCCTTCCTCCCTCTCCTCTCCCCGCCTGTCATCAGTGACCCACGTGCCTCCCTCTTGGATCCTCACTCGATCTTCATAGCACAGTGAGGAGGAGGTATGATGGCCCCCCTTTTACAGATGGGCACCTGCACCCCAGGGGCTGAGTAAGTCGCCTGCTGTGACACTGGTAGAATGGACAATGCCCGTGAATCAGTATGACACACACAGGGAAGGTCAGAGCTTGCTCACCCTAGAAGGACAGCCTTTAAGGCAAATACTGCGAAAGACCACCTTTCTTTGATTTAGAATTGAAGCACGTTTAGTGTCTAAGTCTTTGGTGGGCTCCCAGAAATGGGAACATGGGACCGGCCATCACCTTTAGGCTTCCGCAGGAACAGCTATTTTTAACCGCTTCTGTGTATGTTTGGGCTCCACACGTCGCCCCCACCCACTTCCTGTGAATAAAGTTGAACAAAAGAGCGCCGGAAGGAGTTTAGTGTGGTAAATGTTTCCCTCCACGTCCCGCGTGGTTCAGGGTTCAGGATCTGGAAGAGGAGCCACACACAAATGAAAGGGAAGAGACAAGAGATAATTTGGGAATATTGGGGGCCAGGCGGGTAAGTCCAACTCAAGAGGAAGGACTTCCACCCGTGCTCAGGCCGCACCGACCTTTTATAGTCAGAGGTAAACAAGGTAGTGATTACCATAGGTACACAGTTCTTGTGAGTTTCACTTGTTTTGCCCATAGTTACACTTCCTACACTTCCCTCAGCCCATTAGCTTCCCAGGTAAGATCTGGGGAGTGTTATAAGGTCAAGCCTAATTATGCTAAGAGGACTCTGCCCTCTAAGCTGGGACTTGTTTGTGACTTTGCCAACAGGTCAGTCTGAGGTTTAACACTATATCAGTTCCCCATAGTTTAGGGATTGGAGTGTCTCAGTGGCTGTCTCGTGGCACCCTTCTGTCCCTGCTTGGTGCACAGCCTGTGGTCTGGGGTGGGGGGGCAGCCTCTCTCATGTCCGGTGAGAAGCTCTGAGGGGTCTAAGGTCAGGGCAGGCCCACGCCTGTCAAGGTGATTGGCACAGGAGCCCACCTATGGTGATTGGGACGAGCCCAGAGGGCAGGCGCTTCTCTGGCCCCAGGGTTGTTTCTGCAAGAGGAATGAGGCCCAGTTCAAACCAGTGCACTGGTGCTTTGGTTGAGGAGGGATTGCTTGCTTTTCAAAGAATTACTCACACGCATGATATCTTCGGCCCTGGACGGGTAGCTCAGCTGGTTAGATCGTCCTCCCAAAAGCAAGGTTGGGGGTTAGATCCCTAGTCAGGGCACATATAAGAAGCAACCAGTGAATACATAACTAAGTAGAACAACAAATCAATCTCTCTCTCCTGCTATTACTCTCTCTCCCTTTCTCTCTCTACCTTCCTCTTTCTCTCCCTTCCTCTCTCTCTCTAAAAATCCTATCTAATAAAGAAGGAATATGCTAATTGATGGCAGCACCCACAGCCAATAAGGAGGGAATATGCTAATTGACTGTCCCACCCTCAAAGATGGTGGCACCCACAGCCAATAAAGAGGGAATATGCTAATTGATTGTCCCACCCTCAAAGATGGCAGCACCCACAGCCATAAGATTGCCTGCAGGGGAGGGCAGTTGTGGGTGATCAGGCCAGCAAGGGAGGGCAGTTGGGGCAACTGGGCCATCAGGGGAGTGAAGTTAGGGCAGGGGTGGGCAAACTTTTTGACTCGAGGGCCACAATGGGTTCTTAAACTGGACCAGAGGGCCAGAACAAAAGCATGGATGGAGTGTTTGTGTGAACTAATATAAATTCAAAGTAAACATCATTACATAAAAGGGTATGGTCTTTTTTTTTTTTTTAGTTTTATTCATTTCAAACGGGCCAGATCCGGCCCGCGGGCCATAGTTTGCCCACGGCTGAGTTAGGGGGAGACTGGGCCAGCAGGGGAGGGCAGTTGGGGGTGATCAGGCTGGCAGGGGAGCAGTTAGGCGTCAATCAGGCTGGCAGGAAAGTGGTTAGGGGGTGATCAGGCTACAGGCAGAAGCAGTTTGGGGCAATCAGGCAGGCAAGCAGGTGAGCAGTTGGGAGCCAGCAGTCTCGGATTGTGAGAGGATGTCTAAACCAGCAGTTGGACATCCCCCAAGGGTCCCAAATTGGAGAGGGTGCAGGCTGGGCTGAGGGACACCCGCCCCTAGTGCACAAATTTTATGCACTGGGCCTCTAGTTAATAAATAAAAATTAAAGAAAACTGTTCTCTTCCTGGACACTGGGTACCTGAGTGTGACCTCTGACGATCTGAGCCATTCTGCTCCATGGGAGAGGACCATCTGAAGACAAAGCCAAATGCAGCTGTACAAGGACATGAAAGGGAGGGACACTCTGAAGTGACACTGGCACCTGAGGACCCAGATACATGAGCCCATCAACTTCCTGTTGAAGTTCAAGCCATTTCAGGAGGGTTGTCAGTGACTCACAACAGAAAACACTCTAACATTCATGGTGACCTAGGTGGTTTGGCTCAGTGGATAGCGTGTTGGCCCGGGGACTGAAGCGTCCCAGGTTTGATTCCAGTCAAGGGCATGTACTTCGGCTGCAGGCTCGATCCCAGCCCTGGTCGGGGCATGTACAGGAGCAACCAATTGATGTGTCTCTCTCACATCGATGTTTCTCTCTCTCCCCTCTCTTCCACTCTCTTAAAAAAATCAATGGAAGAATATCCTTGGGTGAATATTAACAAAAAACAAAATAATATTCCCATGATTATGAGACTCCTTGTAAATTTCATTGGTCATTCACAGTGGTTAGAAATAGTTGCACAAATGATTCATGCAAAGAGCTTCTTTGGTTTGAAAGTTCAGCTCCACCTTGAGCAGGACCCAAGCAGGGTCATAATTTAATGTTTGATGACTTTGACACAGAATTCTATCCGTCACTAAAAGGATTTTAACTGGGCTCTTCTTGTAGGTATAGCTCAGGTTTCTTAATAAAAAGATGGAGCTTACCTAATGTCAAAATCGTTGTGCCAGGCAGCCAGAGATACAGCCAGACCATTTGGAAAATGATCGAAAATGTGCTCAGAGGGCAACAATCCTAAGATTAGTTATTACTTCCATTGTCCTTTCTAGGGAGCTTTTAGGAATTTTGTTTTTCCTTCACAAACTCAGTACCAATCTTCTCTAGAAATAACTATAAAAAATGAAGAGGCCTATTAGTTGGAGAGCTCTCCATTAGAACAGTGGGCATATGTTGCTGTGGTGAAAAAAACAACAATAAAATGCAAGTTTTTAAGTAAATAGTTAAAAGTTTAAAACATCTATCTTCTCTCCCTTTCATAGGAAATAAAAGATGTGGGAACAAATCCTAAACCCATCAATGAGCTTGCATGTTGTCAATAATGAATCAGTTGAATCTGTAACGGCCTCTACTCTGTGAATCGCTCTTGGGAGGAAGAAAAAGCTGACTGAAGTAGCTTTACAGACGTTGCTTAATAATTTTTTAAAAAATATATTCTTATTGATTTCAGAGAGGAAGAGAGAGGGAGAGAGAGATAGAATCATCAGTGAGAGAGAATCATCCATCAGCTGCCTCCTGTATGCCTCCTACTGGGGATCGAACCCAGGCATGTGTCCTGACCAGAAATCAAACCTTGACCTCTTGCTTCATAGGTCAATACTCAACCACTGAGCAACACTGGCCTTGCAAGTTGCTTAGTAATTAATTCACCTTCTCAGAAAAGGCCAGAGTGCTCAGTGAGTGAGATAAATATCAGGACAATGAATCTGAATTACACATGGCTGATTTGAGATATTCTGATGAATCTCTTAGCTTGGTTCTCTCCTCTCTATGAAATTGGGTTAGTAATCCTAACAGGCAACTCTGGCTTGCATCTGAGTCCTGTTATTACATTTCATTTCTGTCTGATGAAAGGGTTACACAAAGGGTGACTGCTCAGGCCTAGAGCTCTGGCACATTACTCAGAGGAGAAAAAGTCGTTTTAAGGATGAACAGATGTCGAAGAAACCCTGTGATGCCATCCCGTAGCTGGGTGAACGTGCTTGGGTTGTAATTGAGCTCCGAGCCTCCTGCACTGAACTGTTCAGTACAGTTAAAACCGAGGTTGAAAGGCACTGTGTGTGGAAGTAAGCAGGGACCAGAGTCTGGGATTCCTGAGTCTTAGTTTCATACTCCTGGTTAGACACTGCTTGGCCCATAGAATAAGAAATAGAATAAAAAATTGTATTTCAAACATCAGAAGACTATTTGGGTTATGTCATAATTCTTAATTTGGAGGTTTCAGTATATGTACAGCATCTAAAATAGTTCTGCTGATATAATAAACCCTTGAGAGGATCTTCCCAAAAAATTAATTAGAATCACACTAGAATACATCGTATTTACTTATTTAATACTAGGGGCCCAGTGCACGACTGACATTCATGCACTGGGGGAGGGGGGGGGGAGGGGGAGGGGTAGGGGGTAGGGATGGTCCCTCAACTCAGCCTGCACCCTCTCAAAGTCAGGGAGCCCTCAGGGGATGTCCTGCTGATGGCTGTCTCCTGCCGCTGCCACTGCGCTCGCCCATGGCCAGCTTCTGGCTGAGTGACACTCCCCCTGTGAGAGTGCACTGACCACCAAGGGGCAGCTCCTGTGTTGAGCGTCTTCCCCCTGATGGCCAGTGTGCATCATAGTGACTGGTCATTCTGCCATTTGGTCAATTTGCATATTAGCCTTTTATTATATAGGATTATATAGGATACTCTGCCAATTTTCATCAAAGATTTGGTAAGGTTTTAAAGATACATACAATGGAAGGAAATGAAAATAAATAAAGGAGCGAATTCAGGCCAGAGGAAAGTGTGGGTAGGAAAGTAATAAATCTATGGTAAAACTGATAGACGGAAATCCAAAGGTCCGCTAGCTGGAGGCCACCCACAGTGGCTCCTCACTTCAAGCAGCAGTGCAGGGGGCGGGGCCATCGCAGAGCGGCGGGGCCAGCGCAGAGCGGGCTGAAGCAGCTGCAAGCTCAGTCCCCTGAGACCAGCAACTCAGGAGAATCTCAGCCTCTTGGACCAAGAGACCTGGGAATAACTTCTGATGGGTCCTCACCGTCAGCATTGCCAGTTTATGTGCATCTTCATGGGACACGTGGCGATGCCATCCTGTAAAGTCAGGCCACGGTATGTTTAGCAACAATCATTCCTAAGGGCCCAATGCCATAGACGTGGTGTAAGCACACAGCTCCTGGGAAGGACCGCTTGCTGCGAGGATGCAGGGAGCTCCCTTGGATCAGATGGTTCTCGTGCCAGCTCCGCCTCTTCTGTAAAACAAGACAGTAGCCACCGTGGCCTGGCTGCACACGCACAGTTAGGTAAAGGCCTCAGCAGCGTGGCACGTGGTAAGCTCACGGATGGTGGTTGTTATTTTTATTGCACCGTTTGGTCCAAGGAAGCATTTGGAACCGGGAGCGCTCTAGCCATCCATCAGGTGTCTCAGAAGCACCGCCCTCACCGCCAGGCTTTCACTGAGGAGCGGAGGTGCCAGAGAAGGTGGAAGCTGTGGTTGTGCCAGGAGCCTGCATGCAGGTAGGGGGCTGGTTCCTGAGGGAGGCAGAGAGTGGGGACTCTGTGGCTCAGACAGATGCCACAGGAGGACCTCCGACGGGCCGGGACAACGCTCCTCAGAAAACCACGTGAAGGTCAACAGAGACTGAGTCCCCGAGTTTCGGGCCACACATCATGACTATAAACCATTTGACCTGAAAATTTTTCCAGCAGAAGTTAGACCCGTGTCCACAGAACACCACAGGCACCGTGGGCACTACACCTGGACCCGGCTGCCAAGCCCAGCACAGCCCCAGCGCCCGCAGGCGCCGAGTGTCTCGGCCGCTGTGCATCTTGCTTGTGGGCGGCACTCGCCACTTCTGTGTTTCTTTGGAAGATAGAAATGTTTAATAAGTTTGGGGTTGGTTCCAGAGACTTCTCAGGAGGATGAGGAGATGCTGGGGTGCCCAGGCCTTGAGGAGGAAAGCATGGGCTCTTGGTGTTGGGTTTTAGCCACAAGCTTCTCAATTGAAAAAAGATGTCATTCCCAGCAGATCCTGGGGCCACCCCGGCTTGGGAACAGGGCTTCCACTAGGACTCTTACCTCCTGTTTGCACAGCAACCACCACCATGTTGGAGACAGCTGTGACTTGGGAAGACGGCTGCCTTCCTCCCGGGAAAGCTGGGGGCACCTGCGGTCCTCTGTGGGTATGTCTGTCTTGGTCCCTTCCCGGGGGATGTGACCACTGACCCCTGTTTCCATCAGCACTTCTGTGGTCGCCACTGGGCACGAAGCTCAGACACAGGTTGCTCTGGTGGTTTGCACACAGTGAGTAGATGTGTGTGGCTCCTCCCTTCCACACACTTCCCTATGCTTACAAGCATTTTGAGCCATCAAGTGTCAACAGGAGCTCAATCATAAGAAGCCACTAAACATAAAGACATGCCAACAAGAGAAACCAAGATGGCAAAATAGGTAAACACCAGAAATTGCTGCCTCGCACAACCACTTCAAAAATACAACTAAAAGACAAAATGGACATCATCCAGAACCACAGGAAGGCTGGCTCATGGAAATTCTACACTAGAAGGAAAGAGAAAAGCACACTGAGACTCAGAGGAGGTGCGGAAGTAAAGTGCAGAGGTACGGAAGCACACGTGGAAAGGGCTGACAACTGAGGACATGGTTGTCTTTTTCAATCGGGAGAGAGTCTCAAGCTCCCAACTGCTCTGAACTCCATCCAGTTCAGGGTGAGTCTCTGGGGACCCAGACTCATACGGGGAGAAACTGGACTGTCTGGCATCGGTCAGAACTCGAGGGCAGCTTTCTCTCAGAGGTGCTGCAGCGATTACCGGGACACTGAGATGAGGGGCCTCTTAGGGTAGGACTGAGGATCAGCCATAGCTGTTTGCTCCGCCTTGTTGATCCCCTGAGACCCTGCCCCACCCAAGCTGTCCACAGAGGCTTTTTCATATGAAAGGCCTGGCCCTTTGCAATCTGAAAATTACCTAACAAACTGCAGCTGGGTCAGAGAGACCCAGAACTTCCAAAAGAAGGCCCAAGGCCCCACAGCAGCTTGCATTGCTTCACAGCTGGGCCTCATCTAGGCATCTCCAAACCCCAAACAAAGAAGAGGAATCAGCAGATCTCTCCATAGCTCCTGCTGGGTAGCCTCAGGCAGAGGCTAAATTAGCACCTCCTTAGATCCAAGAGCCACTGTACCCAGTGGTCAGAGTGGGACCATCCAGATTACAACTCCTCAGATCCATAAGGGACACACTCAGGGGGCAGACTCAGTGAGCACCAAAGCCCCACTGAAGCAAGTCTTGCCCCAGAAGGGTGTCTCCAGCACAGAAGCTCTCCCACTATAACCACAGCTGATTCTCACAGCCAATTGGCCTGGAGGTCAATTCCTCCCAGTGATCCTACAACAATCAAGGCTTAACTACAAAGGGGTGCACTGAGAGTGTCCACCTCAGGTAATTGCGGAGGCTGAGCCACTGGGCCCTATAGGACACCTAGCACAGAAAGCCACTCTATCAACACAGGGAAGCATAAAAAATGCAGAGACAAAGAAACAGGTCACAAATGACAGAAATGGAGGAAAGCAAACGACTGGATAAAGAGTTCAAAACCACAGTTATAAGGTTTTTCAAGAATTTTCTAGAAACCACCAATAAATTTAGTAAGACCCTCAATAAGTCTAGTGGACCGCCGATAAATTTAGTGAGATCTTCAAGAAATCTAGTGAGACCCTCAAGGATATGAAAAAGGACTAAGTAGAAATTAAGCATACACTGACTGAAATAAAGAATATTATACAGAGTTCCAACAGCAGACTAGAGGATCGCAAGAATGAAGTCAAAGATTTAAAAGATGAAGAAGCAAAAAACACCCAACCGGAAAAACAAAAAGAAAAAAGAATCCAAAAGTATGAAGATAGTGTAAGGAGCCTCTGGGACAACTTCAAGTGCACCAACATCCGAATAATGGGGGTGCCAGAAGAAGAGAGAGAGCAAGATATTGAAAACCTATTTGAAGAAATAATGACAGAAAACTTCCCCTACCTTGTGAAAGAAATAGACTTACAAGTCCAGGATGTGCAGAGAACCCCAAACAAAAGGAATCCAAAGAGGACCACACCAAGACACATCATAATTAAAATGCCAAGAGCAAAAGACAAAGAGAGAATCTTAAAAGCAGCAAGAGAAAGACAGTCAGTTACCTACAAGGGAGTACCCATACGACTGTCAGCTGATTTCTCAACAGAAACTTTGCAGGCCAGAAGGGAGTGACAAGAAATATTCAAAGTGATGAATGCCAAGAACCTACAACCAAGATTACTTTATCCAGCAAAGCTATCATTCAGAATTGAAGGTCAGATAAAGAGCTTCACAGATAAGGAAAAGCTAAAGGAGTTCATCACCACCAAACCAGTATTATATGAAATGCTGAAAGGTATCCTTTAAGAAGAGGAAGAAGAAGTAAAAGTTAAAGATACAAATTATTAACAACAAATACACATCTATCAACAAGTGAATCTAAAAATCAAGTGAATAAATAACCTGATGAACAGAATGAACTGGTGAATATAATAGAATCAGGGGCATAGAAAGGGAGTGGACTGACTATTCTTGGGGGGACAGGGGTGTGGGGGGTGCGGGAAGAGACTGGACAAAAATCGTGCACCTATGGATGAGGACAGTGTGGAGGGGGTAAGGGCAGAGGGTCAGGTGGGAACTGGGTGGAGGGGAGCTATGGGGGGAAAAAAGAGGAGCAACTGTAATAATCTGAACAATAAATAAAGATTTAATTTAAAAAAAAAAAGACATGCCGACAGGCTTCTGGCAGCTTCCCGGGGCGGGAGGTCGAGCACTGCCACAGGTGAGGGGCTTAAAGCAACAGAAACATGTTCCTCTCAGTTCTGGAGGCTGGAAGTTCAAAACCACGGCAGAGGCACCCCCGACACCTGCAGGGAACAGTCCTTCCCGCACCCCGCTCTGTGGCGGGGGGAGAGGGCGGGGGCCACGGCACCAGCATCCTAGGACCATTGTTTGCAGACGCACCCTCAAACCCTCCACCCCCACGTGGCTTCCTCCTCGTGTCTTCACGTCACCTTTCCTCAGCGGGCCTGTTTCTGTGTCCCATGGCCCCCTTTCTATAATGACACCAGCCACACTGGGTGAGAGCCCACGCTAATGCCCTCAGATTAACTTGGTTACCTGTGAAAGTACCCCGTTCCCAAATAAAGCCCATAACACACGTCATCTCCCCCCCCCGGTGTGCACACGCCCAACACCAGGAACTGTGCTCAGCTCTGTTTACAACCTCAAAGGTCCACACCAGCAGTTTTCCCGGTGCGCTCCAGGACTTGTAAAACACGCAACGCCTGACTGTTCCGTCAGGGACACGCACCTCTCTTCCCCTAGACCCGTGGTCGGCAAACTCATGAGTCAGCAGAGCCAAATATCAACGTACAAGGATTGAAATTTCTTTGGAGAGCCAAATGTTTTAAACTTAAACTATAGAGGTAGGTACCTTGTTATTAACTTAATTAGGGTACTCCTAAGGCTTAAGGAAGAGCCACACTCAAGGGGCCAAAGAGCCGCATGTGGCTCTTGAGCCACAGTTTGCCGACCACGGCCCTAGACCGACAAATTAAAAAATGACAACAGCCAACACAACAAGAGCCGTCCAGTGTGAATGAATCAAAATTGTACCTATTTTATTTTGCCAGGTCGGCAAAAACCGTATTTCTTGGTGTGCAGCAGGATTTTGGTAATTAGTTTATGCGCCATGAGATGGAAACGGTTGGCACTCGCTGGTCTGTACATACGGGACAGGACGTAGGCTTGAGAACAGAGAATGGGCTGAGCGCGGCCCAGCAAGGTCTCCCTTGCCCTGTAGCCAGTGCCTGGCCCGCTGCGCGGCCCCGGAGCCCATCACAGGCCTGGGGCCGCGTTTACCCGGCTGCTCTTATAAATCACCTCGCTGGCTTCTCCTGGGCAGACAGCAGCCGATTAATCTACCCAGGGCTCCCCCGGGGGCTTGGCACGCTGCTGCCCCTTAAAGAGCACGTGGGGAATGAGTGGGTGAGCGAACGAATGGGTGGATGGAACGGTGTGCGAGCCACTCAGACTGACCGTGCGGCCAGTGCTCACAGCCACACACTCTGGGGCTGGCCAGTAATTCCAGCAACAAAGTCTTTGCTGCCCAAAATGTTGTGGAAAATGGATAATGCATTAACTCCGACTTTTTAGGGGACCCAGCTCTGGGCATGGAGTCAGAGTTGGACTTGAACCTGAGCTCCGCCTCTGACTGGCCAGGATCTTGAACAGCTGACTCGACGACTCCAAACCAATGTCCGTGTTCTAATCAACAAGACGGTGAAGTGGTACCTCCTCACAGGCTTGGCTTCATAAACGAAGGAATTCATGAGAGAAACCAGAAATGAGCTGGTGGCTGAGACTAACTCAATAATGTCAGTAGCTCCATTATTTTCTGGGCATGAATAATTTACCTGCTTCGATTGCTTAAAAAGCCGGTGTTTACTAAAACATTTTTTAGTCAAAAGCCTCAACCACAGTTTTTATCAGCGACGAGATTAAATATTGATACTTATTGAGCCCCGTGGAAGGAAGGGCTGAGTGGCTTGGTGGCAGGCCCTCAGGCTGAGCAGCTGTGAGGTGAAGCCCAGTGCGGGGCGGTGCCCGCTGACCTCTCAGCAGGGCCTGGCTGTCCTTGCATTCTCCAGATGGCGTGGGGGGGAGGGGGGAGCAGGAGCATCATGTAGCGGGGAGCACAGAAGGGCAAAACCCAACACCTGAACTCCCCACGTGCAGACACCCTGGTCCCCTCAGGGCTGAGGGCTCGGTCTCCAGGTGCCTGTTTTTAAAAAGCTGTGGAGAGGAGCCCACTGGGACAGTCCTTTTCACATACGGCAACCTGCCTGCCGCTGAGGCGTGGGGAATACGCCGTTTTGTAAGGTGTCATTTGTTAACACAGTTCTTCCTTTGAATCCTAATTTGCCTTGAGGAACGGGATTTTAAATTTCCTTGACGTTGGTGTGTTGCCAACTCCACTCAAGAAACACAGGTGTCCCTGATGGGTTTGGCTCAGTGGATAGAATGTCAGCCTGTGGACTGGAGGGTCCCAGGTTCGATTCCGGTCAAGGGCATGTACCTGGGTTATAGGCACATCCCCAGTACGAGGTGTATAGGAGGCAGCTGATTGATGTTTCTCTCCTATCGATGTTTCTAACTCTCAATCCCTCTCCTTCCTCTCTGTAAAAAATCAATAAAATATATATTTTTAAAAATTAAATAAAGAAAAAAAAAGAAAAGAAACATGGGTGTGAGCTGGAGCCTTGTGATGCATCCAGTGGCCGCTCCCTGTAAGTGGAGCCTGAACAGCACAGGGAGAAGGTGCAGCACCTCCCTGAGCAAACAGGTGCCCACAGTCACAGCAGCGCCCACTGTCACAGTCACAGCAGCGCCACAGTCACGGGGGTCTGATCCGGGTGACCTGGCCGGAATGTCTCTTCACTTCTATTCTCAGGGGAAGGAAATCAGTCGCACAGAAGGTCGTTGCTCACGCACCCATGGCAGGCAATGTGCCGGGGGAAGACCAGGAGGAGGACACACAGGGACCCGACAGGCTGCCACTGGGCAGCCTTGAAAGGGCCGAGGTGGGGTGAGGGGGCATATGGCCATGAGGCGCCCAGGAAGGTGGTCATTGAGGAGATGGCTTGCCCCCTGGTCGGGCAGAGGCCTGGGAGCCGGCTCCCTGGGCGTAACCCCAGACATCAGTGCAATGGGCTTCCTGCGGTGCCCGTCCTAAAGTCGCTGTGAGAATGAGCGTGGTGCGCGTGTAAGACACAGGCCATGTAGCCAGCGCCCCACATACCTGGGATACAGGCTCCACTGACAGGCGAGCGAACCACGGGCGGGGGTGAGGAGCAGCCCTGGGACTGGTGTCTGGTCTGGTGGGAGCAAGGGTCTCGGTGGTTAGAGCCTTTCTGCAATGCCAGGGCCTCCCTCAGGGAGACACCCCGCAAGCCAACCCCGAAGAAAATCCCGGCCCCAGTCCGTCGGGGGACCAGCGGATGCGAGAAGTAGAATGAAAGCCATGCACATCTTCATCTAGACTCCTTGTCACTGCCCTGACTCGTCCTCCCAGACCCTGGCTGTGCTTGTTGACTTAGAAAAACAGAGCAAAGCATCTGTTCTCCTGACACCGGGGACAGCCCGGAGGGGACGTCCAGCTGCTTCCCTCCAAGGCCTGGGACTCTCTAAGTACATTGAGTTCAAAGTTTAAATCTTAAACTCACGGAAAAATCGTCTAGGCCAGTGGTCAGCAAACTCATTAGTCAACAGAGCCAAATATCAACAGTACAACGATTGAAATTTCTTTGGAGAGCCAAATGTTTTAAACTTAAACTATATAGGTAGGTACATTGTTATTAACTTAATTAGGGTACTCCTAAGGCTTAGGAAGAGCCACACTCAAGGGGCCAAAGAGCCGCATGTGGCTCGTGAGCTGCAGTTTGCCGACCACGGGTCTAGGCTTTCGTCTCCGTCTGAGAAGAACCCAGCCTGCGGTTCCCGGGTTTTGTTACAGGAATTTGTTAGTGGTCGTTAGTCGTCAGTCTCCACGGTGATGCTGCTCTGGCTGCTCTGCTTGCCGGGCGACCGGCCTTGACAGGACTGTGAGACCAAACACCTCAGGAAGGCATCCTGGTGCCAACTCCCCCGCCAGCTTGGGAGCCGGCCTCCACGCCCCTCGGAAGTAGGCAGAGCCCTCATCCAGGGAACTTGCAGCATCTGGCAGACAGGTTGGCGAGGGAAAGCAGCAGAGAACAGGGACCATCACAGGTGAGATCCGCTGTGAGTCACGGAGGTCTGCCAGTGCCACTGTCATCTCTGGCCCCAGGCAAGGTGGCCCCAGGCAAGACGTCGTTAGGTGCCCTGTGTCCCTGATGAACCTTTGTCCCTCTGGCCTCCTCTCCTGTGAAGCTCATCAGATGCCATGCTGTTTCCTGCCAGTGGTGCCTGAATTCTCAGGGACAACCTCTGTTCCCCAGGGAAGGGCGGAGGAGCAGACCTGAGGCCTACTGAGTGCATTTCTTAGAAGAGCGACCCCCTCTGGGCCCCCAGTGATGAGGCTGCGAAGTCAAGGCTTCCCTGGGGATGGAACTGACTCCTGGAACCCCAGCCTGGCTGCCACCTGCTTCTCTCGGCTCCTCAGCTCCTCAGCCGGCCTGGGGACTGCTTCCTGCTTTCGTGTCATTCAGGAACCAGGGGCTGTCTTGACAGTAAGCTGGTCATACAATTCTCTCAAAGACAAACATGTGAAAAGATAGCATGGGCCCTGGCCGGGGGCTCAGTTGGTTAGAGCGCCAAGGTTGCGGGTTCAATCCCCAGTCAGGGAACATATAAGAATCTCCCAATAAATGCATAAATAAGCAACAATAAATCAATGTCTCTCTCTTTCTCTCTCCCTTCCCCTCTCTCTCTCAAAATCAATCAATCAATAAAAATTGAGAAAAGATAGCATAGAGTTATTTGTACATAAATGTGAATTATTTGTTTGACAAACATTGACTGCAGAAAAGCACATGGGCCATGCGGAAAGCCCGCCTACAGGCCCCGCCTACAATAGCCCACATTCCAGTCCCACGAAAAGGTGGGTCCAGGCCACGGTCGGGGGAGGGTCCCCGTAGGAAAGCAGGGCCGAGACTGATGGAACGTTCGCTTCCAGGCGTCTTTTCTTGAGAAGGAGGCGTGCGCATAAGTGAACATGTGGAAGCTGTCATGCAGCAGAATTTCTAAGTGAAAATTTGGAAACAGGTTAAGGCCCATCATGGCGGGAATAACTGGACAGTGGGTGCGATTTGTGCTGGCCAGACCCCAGATATAAAAACAACATTGGTCACGTTCCTCCTTTTATAACTCAACACAAAGGTCACATGTTGACCTCCAAGGTCATCTGGCCCCTTCCAGACAAACATGGTCAGTTTGGGGCATGCCCTGTCCTGTCTCCCCCCAAGGCCAGGTGCACCCCAGGGCCAAGGGAGCTTGGGCTCGGGGTGCAGTGGCCATCACTCGGTGCCCCCTACATGGCAGCTCAAGGAGGGGCCAGCACCGTTCTCAAGGCCTGGACACCTGGCCTCCCCTTCCCCTCCCCCACCCCCGCCCCGTACCCCCCCCACACTGCCCTGGGCACACCTGAGAAGTGGTGCCCCACCTCCTTCAGGCTCAAGGTAGGCCCCACTTTCCTGTGGAGAAGCCATTCCGCCCATGACCAAGAAGCCCTTCATCTCTGCAGGCCTTCCTGCACCCAGGTTTCTCCTGGCACATTTCTCCATCTCTGGGGGCAGGGGAAGTACGGCCTTCCTCCCTCCCTGCTGCTGGGCTGCCTGGCTCCTGGGAGACACTTGTCACCTCTCCCCAGCTGCCCCTGCCTGTGCCCTGATAGGGAGAGAGCAGTGAGGGGCCTGTGCCTCCCGGGGCCAGGAAGTGGGGACTTATCTCTACCCTCAGGCTCACAAAACGGCTGAGGGCCTGCAGTCCCACTGTTGCCTGCGGGGCTGTATCTTCAAGAACAGCTACAGCCCTTCTCCCGCGCACATGCTCTTCTCACAAGGAATGCTGACGTTCCTCCCACAGAGAGGGGAGAGGTCAGGGGGGCCATGCCCTCTCCCCTTGAACCGGCAGGACTCTGTGCCTGCCTCAACCCGCAGCGGGTGGTGATGACACCGCGTGACTTGGGAGCTAGGTCATAGGAACGTCATGCCCTTCTGCTCCTTCTCTTGGGACACTTACCTTGGATTCCGAGCCTCCAGGAAGGAGTCTGGCTGACCCGAGGCCACCGCGAGGCGAAGAAGCCCAGGCCAGTGACATGGAGCAGAGACAACAGGAGGCCTTTCCTGGTTAAGGGTGGTGTCCTTTGCTCCTTCACCCCTTGGCTCCATGTCCTGAAGGTGAGAGATGTGAGTCACTCAGCCTGTGAGGATGTGGAGCAATGAGCAGAGCTCCGATAGTCACACTCTCTTACTTTAATCCTGGGCAGTTTCTCTCACTTAGAACTTGCATATGGGAAGATTTTACAAACTAGAGATAAGCTATAGAAACATCTCAGTATAATATATGGACAGATATGTAAACAGAAATAGAGGAATAAATGGATGGATGGGTAAGTGGATGGATGTTTGGATGGATGGGTAATGGGTAGAAAGATGGATGATGAAAGAGAAATAGAAAGAATGAGAGAGAGGGAGCGGCTGATTTCTTTTTAGTCCTAAGAGTGGCTTTTGTTGAGAAGTATTAAATGATCCAGAAGACATTGTATGGAGTCATATTTTGAGATCTGGTGAGCTCTATGTCTTTCTGACTGTTTACCTGTAGTTTGCTAGTTTGCATGATTGAAACTTTCTTTACTCTAGCTCACTTCTCTGTAGACCTAAGAGGAAATAATTGTGATTCAAATAAAATTGGCCCACTTTAAGACCTGTCCCAGTTTGGTATGACATGTGGAGAGAGAGAGAGAGAGAGAGAGAGAGAGAGAGAGAGAGAGAGAGAGAGAATTTCAGCCCCAAAAATCACTGAACAGTAATGTAGACTTCTACTGAAAAGCTCTTGGAGACACCCAGGTGGGAATTCCGTGGGGTTTACAAAGCACATTATAAATTCAGCTTCCTGACTCCCTCATTAGACATCCCTCCCTGTCCCCCAAGTTCTCTGTGGTTATACAAATGTCCTCACATCCTCAGCCCCACGGAGAGCCTGCCTTTCCAGAGGATTGTCCTTTTACATAGAGCCATCCTTCCTCCCTAAACCCTTCCCTGAAAGGGTCTAATGGCACGAGCTGTGGTGGAAGGAGGGGCCTAATGACTGATTTTGTTTTTGTCACACAGAGATTGACCTTTTCTTTCTCTTTAGGCATAAAAGTTAAGATTAGAAATACTAATTTGTGTCTGTGAAGTTATGGACCGCTTTCCAAAGTGGTAAAGTCCATGCCCCATGGGGTGTCCTCCCTGAGTCCTGAGAGCGGGAGTCTCCTGGGCAAGGAGAGAGGAAGGAAGGAGGGGAAGGAAGTTCAGACTCATCCAGGCTGTGGCGGAAATGCATGCCTCTCGGAGATGCAGAAACCCTGGGACCCAGTGTGAGGACTTGGCGTCAGGCCGGCCAGGATGCTTCCTGCCAGGTGGGCTCTGGGGGGCACCGGTAGGTCCCAGAGCCCCCCCTCTCCCCACCGGTGACATGGGGTCATGAGGGCCTGCCCTGTCAGACCTCCGCTGCTGCCACAGGTGACACTGCTTTGAAAATCACAGGCACAACCCAAATGTAAGAGTCTTGGATCCAAGAGAGCGGGTTGGGTTCCCCTCCTGTGTGAGGTGGAGGAGGCCTGATCAGCCTCCCAGGGCTGCCTCCACAAACCCAGCCCGAGAGAAGTGAACAGCAGAAATGCACTTCTTCACAGCCCCGGAGGCTGGACGTCCCGGAGCGAGGTGCCAGCAGGTTGGCTTCATTCTGAGCATCCTCCTCGGCTTACAGCTGCCCCCACCTGCCTCACGTGGTCTTTCTGCTGTGTGTGTCTCTGTCGTAATCTCCTCTTCTTAAAAGCACCCAGTCATAGTGGATCTGCCCACCCGATGGATGACCGACCTCATTTACCTGTCACCTCTCTAAAGGCGCCTTCTCCAATACAGTCCCATTCTGAGATGGTGCTGGATTCAATATCCCTTTCGGGGGGACACCCCTCAGCCATTCCTGATTGTCACCTTTCTTTGTTGAGACGTTAATTTTACTTTCTTGATCTTAATGTATTATTGACTTGGAACTGTCCGAAGCTGCTTTGTGAGGAGTCAGACTAATGTCCTGGCTTCTTCCCCCTTCATCTGCTCGCAGTTTGAGGAAACGTTGAAATTCTGAGTTCCGTATTTCAGGCTATGAGTGGCTGTGGGTTTGAGGCAGGAGGGGTAGCGTCTGTGAGACCTTATTCATCAGTCTCCTTTGAGGCTATTCCTGGTGTTCCTGCCATTCACAGTGAAGTCAACAGCACTGGTGATTCATCTTCGTTGATAACCAGCTTCCAAAAAGAGAGAGGGCATTTCCATCATTCCAGATCTGCTTCTGAGTGGTAATTCATTGTTCGTGGTCATGTGCCAGCCATCTTCTGGTGTCTGACGAAACCTGGTACTTCTCTGTATTTTTCCAGATCAAAGATAAAGAAATGGAAACTGTAATTTTCATTAGTCTCACCAAAAACTGTATACAAAGTCATGAAGTACACAGGACAATGCTCAGGAAATGTTTACCTTCTATATTTGTTAGGCTGGCAAATGTAGAATATATTTAATACTTATTTCAAATATATATTATGCATACATTATATACATACAATACGTTATATATTATACATGGATATACTATGGATATTATATATATGGATATATATGGTTACATGTAATTAATTTTCCCAGGTCTCACACCACCTGAGGTACAAATGGAGTCACCGTAATAGAAACAATTTTAAACCCCCTAGCTTCTTTTTTATATATATATAAATTTTTTATTGTTGATGGTATTACAGATACGGGGGGTAGGGGGAGTGGGCGAAAGGGGAGCTATCTTTAATACTATCCAGCGTCCTCACTACGTATTTAGGGAGACCTGAGCCGGCTGGGAGTTGAGCCCGAAGAGAGAGATGCCATCCTGCTGAACTGAGCAGCCCTCCTTTCCGAACCGATGCGTCCCTACTGTCTCGGGTGCCTGCGCTGGACCTCCAGCCGACCTGGTAGATTCAGGTGCCTCGGGGGCACGTCCCCGACACATCCATGTACCCTGAATCCTGGCGACATGTCCGGCCAGGGCCCTGCCGCGTGTAACATACGTTACCTTGAGAACTTCTTACAAAGAGCTTCCCTTGGTGTGATCTCTCTAATGTCAAAGTAGCGATGTTTGCTAAGGGTACTTGCTCTCATTCTGGAGATGAGGAAACTAAACTGCCTCAGGCGAAGCAGTGACTAAGTTAAATTAGAACCCAGGCATTTCAGCATCGAGTCTGGGAGTGGGCGCAGAGGGCGGGCCCTGAGGGCACTGCAGGGGCAGCCCCACCGGCCTGGTCGGGGCACCTGGAGGACACGGGCCGCGCTGAGTCACAGCACCCAGACGTCACCCCTATGAGAAGCAGGAGGGACCCCCTGAATCGAGCTGAACGCTCAGTCTAATCAACACCAGGACCTCCTGCGCATCCACAGGCTGAGGAGGCCAGGAGACAGCGGAGCGGCTTCAGGAACCCCAGTTTCCTGCTTGTGCCAGTTAACGGTCCCAAGGATGAGTGAGAACAGACCGCTTCTAAATGTGAGATTTTTGTTTATCCGAAGCCTTAGCATGACTGGCCGGCTCTGTCACTGCATGCACACATTTTCTCTTTATTTAATTCCCAGGGCCGAAGCTGGGCAGGGGCTGGTCTGCCAGAGAAAGAAGGCTCTTTCTTCAGACAGGGCTGTGCCTGCAGAGGGAACCTTGGTGCACTTCTATATTCAGAACCCGAAATGGCCACTTGGGAGGTGTTGACATTTGTGTATTAAGGGTTTAGGGATTGGGAACTTTAAGGCGTTTCCCTCTATAAATTACTCAGTACTGACCCAGGCCCCAAGGCCACGAGGCCCCGGCTGCGTGAGGCCCCGGCTGCTCCCCGACAGGCTTTCCAGGCCACGCGGAGCTCAGGCCCAGGAGTGTGAGCAAACCTGCGTCTGAGGGACAGGGCAGAGACCCTCTCCCTGTCCCTGCCCCCCACCCCACCCCCACCCCCACCCCGGTGTCAGTGCAGACGCCACAGGGGAAGCAGGGCTCCCAGGAGGGATTTTCTTCTTTGAAATCAGTACCATGAATATTCTGTTTTCTTTCCTTATTACCTGAATGAGAAATAACAGTTACACTCCAACTGCCATTTATTCTGCGGATCTTTCTCCCCACTGCACAGCCTACTTTTGGGGCCCCTAACTTCCCCCACTTCCCTTTCGAGGAAGGGGAACCTCAAGGTCAGGGATGGCCAGCCCTCCGCTCCGCTCCCTCTCATGACGGAAGTGTAGAATGGAACTTGGGAGAAACTGCATGTGTAGAGCTTTCTTTGGATTCCGAAAAGGCTTTCATTACATTTTCTAATGCTTTAAATTAGTAAAGCCCTTTATGAAAAACATATCTATTTGACTTCAAAGCTAAAGCCATGGAAAGGAAAGGAAGATCACAGACTTAAATCTTAAAAGTCAAATGTTGCCATGTATGAGAACAGTATTTCGGGAAGGAAGGAGGCGAGTGTGCCCCAGACGAGGGTCAAGGGTCCCTCCACCCTGTCCCTAATACTCGGAGTCACAGCTGTCCCTGCACCTGAGTATCGTCCCGCCCGCCCTCCCCTACAACCCACGCAGATGTCTGTACAGGGGGCAGGGGTCGCTTTACGGGAATGGCTGCGTGACCTCCCGCAGAGGCAGGGCCTGTGCTCACGAGGAAATGGGGTTTTAAAGTGGAAACTAGTAGCGCACTCGGGTTTAGGGCCACTCCCGGGCCTGAAAGCGCAGAGGACGCCGACACGGGAGTTCCGGACGAGCGCCGGTCACTGTCCTCAGAGGAGCACAGGGAAAGGCTGTTTTTGGACTGAATGTTCACGGGACATTCTGCTGGTTACGAAGGGACAGGGCCACCGGCAGCCACGTCGAGGTCTCTGTTGTATGTCCAATACGTGGGATGATTACCAACCACCTCCCCACCAGCCCCTCCGTGAGCTAGTGAGGTCCCCCTGCAGTCGTCGTTTTCAGAACGAGGAGGGGAGTCAAGGAGACCTAGCGACGCGGGAAGGGACACAGCGTGTGAGCCGGGGAGCTCGCCTGGACTCACACAGACAGCTGCACACTGGGAAC